TCGGATCAAGAAATAATGGTCTCTAGATATGCATATATTAACCAAACAAACTACTTATTCTACATTGTATATTACCATATGTCAATTTCAGGTTACTATGTTGGTCTCCACTGAATTGACATCCACTTTTAGTCCTTCAATTCTATTCAGTCCTTCTGAAAACCAAATTTATTATAAAAATGTAAAAGAGAAACATCAGCCAAAATAATGGGTCTACCACTGTATGTATATGATAATGTATAACAGCGAGAAAAAATTTATGTGCTAAAAACTTAGCATTGTTGTGATCACTCTCGAGCTTTCAAACATTCTCTTGCACTGCAACTAAAGCAGCCAAAAGACGCAACTTTCTCATCCCACCACCTAAGGTCTTCCTTAGAGTCTTTGCCTACAAAAACCATTAAAAAAGAAGAAGAAGAAGAAGAAGAAGAAAGAGAGTGAGAGAGATGGGTATTCAAGTTTCTACAATGAGAGAAAAACAGAATTCATTAATACTCAATCAGATCCCAACAATTTTTACATTAACCGGATACTCAACAAATTCATATAATGACATCTTCATTTAAAAATAAGAAAGTCCTTAATAGACTTCACAACATGATGAATATAAGCACCTAAATCACTGTCTTTGAACCAACAAAATCTTCAATTTTTTCCAGTCACGGTCAAACTGAATAACCAAACGATATGTCAAATAATTGAATTCAAAACATAAATTTATGCAGTAAAGTTCTAATAGCCCAAGAAAAACAAAGGACATATAGGTCATGTTTCTTTCAAGTTCCCACAAATTATAAAAACAGCAACAATTCACCCCATTATAATCGTAACAACAATGGCCAAAGCAAAGGGAGAAATTGGAAGTGAACCTATGCACTACAATGTCCCAACAGAACTAATCAACCCAATGGATGCCTCATGTACCAATTAGTTCAAATAATAGTGCACCAGACTTGTGAGTTGTGTGACAATCAACTTTTAATTTATTCAAAGCCGCAACACTTTGAAGGCGACATTTATTCAATTTCTACTGATTCTAATAAAATTTATCTCTGATTCAAAAACTATGAATGATATGAAATGCAACATTTATTCAATTTCCAATGGCCCATAAAAATTCATTATTTAGCCAAGACATCCAATCCAAATTTACTGAACACCTTGTACCAAATTCACAAAATTGATGTTCAAACAATCCAAATTAGAGAGTGGTCAAGACTAAAATCATCTACACCACTCGCCATTTAATCCTCTCAATGTACAAACAACCAAACAGAACAACTAAATTATGAAATCAACCAAAAGAAACACATATATATACTAATATATAAAGGAGCAATCCAATTTGATGTAGACCTCATTTTGAGAAGCTATTCATGCTTAAAAATGAATCCATATTAATTACTTGGAAAAATTAACATCATCCTGAAAACTACACCCACCCCACCCATAAATCTCTAATGTCTCATATAAACTCCTCCAATACACTGTCCAAAAAATATAAAATAAAAAACTCCTTCATTATAACTTCATCAATCCAAACTGATGCTAATTTAGGGTAATAAAAAAACTAGAGATTTAGGAAAATTCAACATGCTAATTTAGGGAAAAAAAACAAGCGAATCTGAAGCGATGGTGCTCACCTTGGTAGATGATGGTGCTCACTTTCCTCACTGAACGAATTTGAGATTGAATCACCGAGCTGAAGAAGGTTGAACTTCGAAATCACGTTCAATCGATCAATAGATCTTCAATCGATCGATCTGATCTAGATAAAACCTAGCAAACCTGAATCGAATGATTCCATCAGTAAGTATCATCTTCAATCGAGCTTGACTGTGAGAAGATAGAGATAAGACTGATCAACACTTACCATGAAGAAAGACCTGCGAACTCGAACATGAACTAGAGATAGAGATAAGACTGATCTGCGAATCGAGAGAAAAGGGTTTGAAGCAAGAGAGAGTGATTTAAGCTTCGATGGATCTGAATCAGGTTTTGTTCAGATCGGGGCATCGATCTGAATCTTTTTTGATTTAAGCTTCGATGGAGAGAGAGATCTGTGCGCATGTGTTAAGGGTTGAGAGCTCTGATTCAAAGTAAGGTTTTCACAGAAAGGGGCGCGTGTGGGTCACCACATTCGGAGGCGTTTTTAAACGCCTCCCATTATAAAACGGTGTCGTTTTGTTTAATAGAATATGCAGCGTTTTTAAAACGCCGTTAAATACTAATAACTGTGACGTTTACAGAAACGTCGTTAAAAAAACGCACCAAATCGCCCTTTTCCTGTAGTGTCCCTCTATTGTCAATTGATTTTGGGTTGTATGTCTCCAAAAGTTTACGGTCTCACAATGCCATTAAAGAGAGGAAACAAATCATGCCAAGGGAGCAGATAATAAGCAGCACAAACTCTGTTAGTGTGGAAGTAGAATAAAGGTTCTATCCTATTTTGTGATTTTTTAAATGATTGATATTTAATTCTATCAAAGTTGAAGGTACCACTGCTAGAAAGGGGGGCTTTAGACACGAAATTTTTTGCGACGGTATAAAAATCGTTGCAAAAAATAAGCTTTTGCGACAACAAATGGAGCCGTTGAGAAGCTTTTTGCGACGGACTGATATCTGTTGCAAAAGCTACACATTTGAGACGTATGAAATAATTCGTCGCTAATAGTATTTGTTGAGACAGAAAATGACTGTCGCTAATAAATGAGCAAAAAGATGTTATCATTAGTGACGGAAACAAATTACCCGTCGCAAAAGGGTTCATCAGTTGTGACAGATTTTAAACTGTGGCAAAAAAAAATAATTAAAAACGACGTAGTGTTCCGTTTTTGCGCATCCACTCTGTCCCTCACAAATAATACGAGCCCTAACCCTATTTCATTCATACGCTATATCTCTTCCTGCCATTGGCGCTGCCTCACTTTGCAATCCTCCCACGGGTGTCGCCCTACTTCGACGCCGTCATCGTCCCACTGACGATCATTCGAGTAGAAGGTGCAGCAAATCCCGATCAGAGCTATATGAGGGTCTCTCTCTCTCTCTCCCCCCTCTCTATTTATGAAAAGCTCATACTTTCTACTTGTCTTGGCAATGCCAAGAGATGATGAGAGACTTCCTAGTTTATGCTTGTTAGTTTGATCTTTCACATTTGGAGATCAGGTCTTTTTTTTATTCGATTCGATTTGTTAAATCCTAAATTTTATTTTGAATAATTCAATAACTATTAGTTTTCTTTTTTGGAACGCTAGATCCTTGTTGTTGAAGCCCTAGGTCAGCGAATCTATTTTGAATCGAGTTCCTTCAAGTTGTTCTCAATCGACAGTCGACGATCATCTGGAGGTGCGAATTGCAAATCTCTCACTCACTCTCTCTCTCTCTAATAACGAACAGAGCTATGTTCCCAATCTCTATTATTGTACATTTTCGATGTCATCGAAAGATGCTTTCAAGATCACACTGATTATCTGCGCGTGAGGTGAGTTCTCGTTGATTCATTCGAATTTGTTTGATTTTTATCATTATGATCCTGTAAAGAGTGTCATTTTAATTTATTTTTTGGTCGATTATGCTTATTTTATAGTAATTTATAAGTCTGGAATGTTCTTGTGCTGTTTCTTTCGGTTTTGTAAATTGATTTTGTGTGGATGCTTTTTCAAGTGTTTTGTATAGAACACAAAAGTTTTTAGGATTTTGATTTTGGTTTTTTAATTTTGTATAATTTTTAGTTTTCAAAGCTGTTAATTTGATGAAGCTAGGGTTGGGTGGAAGTTAAGAGGGAAGGTGCATTGATACTTATACACCTGTGGCTTTAGTTTTGGAGTTTGAATAATACTTTTTGACTGGAAAAATAAAGCCCTAAGCAAGTGCATGTTGGTTTTCACACTATGTTGGGCTGCTTTGACTACACCCACTAGCATTTTATAATCTCCACCTCTACTTTTGTTTTTGTGAAGCCATTCCAAAACAAAATTTGGGTAGTTATAGTAATATCCAAAGTATCTCTACCTCTTCTTTTTTGAATTCATTCCAAACAAACATTGGGTGGTTAGTTTTTTTTATCAAATTTATAATTTGCTTTGTAACTCTGAAAAGCAAATTTCACTTCTGATTGCCCTGATTCTAAGCTACTGATCTATAAAAAGTTGACTGAGTCACAGGTTATTTGGTAATTGTATGGATTCATGTTTTAATGGCACAGAGATGAATGGTACATTCTTACTGCACTTGACTATTGTTGGTATGTTTGTGTTTACGCTGGCGGTCAACGTACAGGGTTATGGAACAAAAGTATATCATGTTTTGGAACGTACGTTTCAAAATATAATTTTCTAGGTATTAACATTTTTTTTTGCAAGAATGTCTATAACAATAACAACTACAACAAAAACAACAAACTGACAATTGCATTCAAATGAAAATTACAAAAATTCCATCAGGGTAAAACAGTAAACTGTTATTCTTTTCCTTCTTAATTAATGTTCACACACAGAGATTAACAGGTACCACTAAAGTTAGCTCCACAATCACCATCATCAAAACTGTCAGTAAGCTAGTGATTAGTTGGGTAATTAAACAATTAAAGGTTTCACTATTGCTGTCTAACAAAACTAAGCCTTTTGATTGGCTCTTTCAAATATTGAATAGTCATTAGTTGATCAGTCAACCTCAAATTACCTCCAAACCTAGGCAAGTATTACCATCAATTCCAAATTCCATGGAAAAGTTTGTAAAGCAAAAGGTTCTGCGATTTTGTCAAAGAAAGGTGTCAATATTCCTGAAGATAACTTCGCAAGACATCCAAGTACTGTTTACCAGTGACAACTTGAATAATCAGACTTATGGTCATTATATACTTTAATTTGTCCTATGAGATGTAAAAGATTAATCCAAATCCATCATCTATGACGTGTTTACACTCGACCAGCTAATGCATAGTGTGTTTAGTCAAGACAGGACAGCTCTGGTTCAGATTTCCAACCCTTCTAAAATGTGTCCTCATCATCTATGGTGTGTTCATACTTTCTACTTGTCTTGGCAATGCCAAGAGATGATGAGAGACTTCCTAGTTTATGCTTGAAAATTTCAACTTTTCTAGAATAGACTTGATCAATCTCTCTATATCTCAAATGCAAACTGAGAATATATTATATTTAAACTTTCTGAGAAAACACCTCTTGCCTATTCCATTAGTCTGATATAGACCTATAAAATGGTTACCCAGATCAACCAATTGTACGCAACACATGGCGTGAGACTTGTCTGGTTACCAGTACTTCTAGTGCTCATTCTATGTGCAGCTACTTATGTGGCACTTCTAAATTTCTCTCTGTCATTATATCACAACATTCTCGGATTTTCATGTAGTCGTCTTTTCATGTTTTTGGTGTTTCATGCTATATGCGTCGTTATTGTCAAAAGTTACAGCCCATCATCTACTGATGTACTTGATCTATTTTTGCCTGTCCTCCACTTTTGTTATGGAGTAGAGGAAGAGCACACCGAAGACACAGACAGTACCTATGAGGAGCAGAGCAGCCAACACGGCAGCAAGTACAACGACAATTACAATGATGACGATGACAAAAATGATGATGTCTATTATCATGGTTCGGATGGTTACGATGAAGAAAATGATGACAATGGTAGCGATGGTGTTGTTGGTTAGGACGATGATGAAAACGAATTTAACAATGATTTGGAGAGCAGAATTGAGGGATTCATCGACAAGGTCATAAAAGGATGGAAGGAAGAATTGCTGAGAGAGAATCTTCACGACGGCTATGGGATTAACAGATTTGGAATGAAATACTGTACATTAATGTTCTATAGTATAGCAAGTTTCACTTTTGTGTTTTGTAACTGGTTTTCTATACCTATTTCATTTCTTCTTTTCAAATCTAAACTTCACCTTTTTTGGTTGGGAATTTAGGGTCTACAATTGTTATCTTTTTCATTTTCCTAGATGTGTTCACTTTTAGGGACGATTAAACGTGCACCATTGCTTTGCACCACACAAAAGAACTGTTGTAATTTTTTGTTTTCTAATAAATATATAATAGTTTCTTGTGTTACTTGACCCATCTTAAAGAGTAAAATTTCTGTAAATAAAATGCTTGCCAAACCAGAAACAATCTTTTCAGTTGTTGATAACGTTCCAGCTAAAGTTTCTATTTTTCCCCAAATATGGATGAAAAATGTCCTAACAATACAGTTAAAGTGACTATATAAGGCATGTGAACACTCCTAAAGTGACTCAGTTCCTTCTGCTGCTTCTGAGGTATGTGAACACAAAAGGGCATTATATTTGTTTTTTATATAGGTATCTTCTTAGAAGTTTCTATATAAGGGTGCAATTGAGGTTAGTAGTTGAACACACACAAGCTTTATCGGTTTTTACCAACTTAGAAGCTCTTAATTGTATTGGAACACTATTGGATTAAGGCCAAGTTTGGCATATTGCAAAAAAGTCAAAAAGTCAAAAAGTTACTCAAAAAGTTAAAAAGTTAACACTATTCACCAAAAGTCAACAATTACGGCTGCACAACTCCCAATCCTAATTTTTTTCTATAAATCAATTTTTACAATTTTTTATTACACATTTTTCCATAAAAAGTCAAAAAGTTAACCCAAACATCCATATTTTTTTCCTCAATTTTTTAGTCCAAAAAGACAAAAAGTGCACTTATTTAGGACACCCCAAACAACCCCTTAAATTTAAATTTGATTGTACTATTGTATGGTATCAATCCACTCCTTGCCGTTAGTGCAATTTGAATGAGATGAACTGTCTTTCAATTTCTGACTGTGCTTGTATTACGCATTAATAAAAGAACTTAATTTCAGAAATAGGAGCCAGCTGGTATTGTTGTTCTGCCAATTTTTTTTTCCCCTGAAGCATGTACTCTTTCTTGTTAGTTCTTATAGCAAGTGCCCATGTTAGATTTTTTGTTTTACTTTCTTATATCTTGTAGTTAGTTTTTGCACAATAACTATTGCTTATCTACTATTTTTTTGTGTTAGGCTTCTACTTGGGAATCTGTGGAAGTTGTCCGTGATTATTGGGCAATATTCCTTGATTCAGAGCAGCAACTAATCAAACTTGCACAAGAACTTGTTACCAGGTATGAGTTTAAATAAAGAAGGGAAAGTGTGGTTTACACACATCTTCACTCCTAGTGGCTTAAAAAATTTAACTCCACTCTGCTGATAATAGACACTTGTTTTACTTGATTGTGCTTTTCATTATGTCGAAAATCAAATAATGGGCAGTATGAAATTCATTTTTTTCCCTGCTGTATTTTTCTACAATCATGCAACAGTATAGTTAACCCTGAGGATTCTCTTTCTTTGTTTGGCTCTGTGGGATTTTGCAGTGACGCTTTGATGGAACAAATTAAAGCATTGGTCTATCGTCACCCAGACAAACTCTTATGTAGGTCTATGTTCTTTTTTTGCGTTATTTATTTTGTTAAATTGGCAGTTCTCATTGTCCATATATTAAGCAGATGGAGACAATTGGAGGTAAAAACAAGGGCTACCGTGTAGAGATGACTGTTGTTACTCATTGCCAGAATAGGAAAGACATAGATGACAGGTCAAAGTTTCGGATCCTTCTTGTAAGTTTGTCTCTTAATGTAGTAAGATTGCATTTGAATTGTTATTAGTTATTTCCTTTTAAAATCATATTAAATTAGTTGAGTGTAACCTGCATACCTCATTTTAATTTGATGTCTAGTTTGTAGAATATCTCAGATTGGTAATTGCTGGTGTGTTTGACAGATAATTACTTGTCTTCCAGAGTTTTGGGCAGCATGGAAGGGAGCTCATTACATCTGAGCTTGCATTAAGGATGCTCTCCATCTTGAGTGGAGAGCAATTTCTACCCAACATGGATCCAATTTCTTTAAACAACACGCTTGAGAGGCTTGTGATAAAGGTAGCCTTTAATCTTTTGTCTAGATCCTTCCCTGCTCACTTTAACCTCTCTTTTTTTGTAATAAAATGTAGTGTAGATGATTATAGATATGGATGTCTATATTAGTAAACAAGTGTTATATGTATAAGTCACATTCAATATAGTGCCTACTCGAGTCCAATGTGGGCTTACTCATGAAAACTATAAACATGCCTGCAACTTTAAACTGATGGAACTGGCTTTTTTATTTTCTGATCTTCTTAAATAATTTTATTTTATTTTATTTTATTTTATTTTATTTTTTTGTGTATTTCTTTTTGTAGATGCTATCATTTTGAGTACGTGATGATAGCTTCACATATCGATATTGGAGCTTACTGTTGATACTAAAACAAGCTATAATATATATATGTTTTTTTATTTGTACTGTCGATACTTTTGTTTTGTTTAGATACAAATTTGAGTCCTTGAATTATCAAATTTAGTATTGTTGGAGGATGTTTAATATATTTTTGTAAGGAATGTTTGGTTGACACTGTATTGTTACATGGTACATATATATATATATATATATTATTTGTATATATGATTTTGTGAATGTGAATGTGGATGTATGTGGATGTGGATGTATTTTATTTTATAAAATATTAATAATTTGCATAGGGAATGAATTAATAAAATATATATTTATTTTATGAAAATAATTATTTTGTGACAGTAATAAATTGTCGCTAATGTTATCATTATTTTCTTGCATTTTATTAGCGACGGGTAACCTGTCGCATATACATATTAGTGCCATCTTTAGCAACGGTTTAAATTGTCGTGAATACATTATTGATTTAATTCTCTTTTCTTTTTTTTTTCTTTCTTTTTTTTTTTTTTGCGACGTTTAAGACCATCGCTAAAAATATTTTTCATGACGTCAACTACTGTCTCTAAAAAAGTTTTTGGTGACGACATCCTAAACCATCGCTAAAAGTGGTATTTTTTTTTGCTTTTTTGCGTCCGGCTAAACTGTCGCAAAAATCATTGACTAACCGTCGCTACAAAGAAATGATGGTTTGTAACTGTCGCAAATACCTTTGGTCATGCCCCTTCTGCCACCCCCCATTTCCCGTCGTTACTCTGTCGCAAAAAGTCTTTTGCAACGATATGTGGTCCTTTTGCAACGTTTGGGACCGTCGCAAAAGGTCCATTTTTTAGTAGTGAAAGAACAATTTTTACATTCCATTGATTAATCCAATTAAAGGAAAAAAAACATAGACTAGTTTCAACAGTTAAAGAATTAATTCAACCAAAGAATTATTACATTTCATTAAAAGCCCTTCTGAACAAGCTAACTGAGAAGTTACTCGGGTCAGTCCAACAACCTATTGTTCTTAATCAAATCTTCTATAATGCTATTCTATATTCTTTTTTTTTTTTTTGATAAATAACCGAATTTTATAAAGAAGCATCAAGAAGATGCAAAGAAAACAAAAAAGGAGGCCAAAGAGGCTATACGAACAAAATAACTAACAAATCAAATGTTCCACAAATTCGACAAAAGCGAAAACATCCAGGTCAACCGATCTAGTCACCCAACCATGCAATATCGTAAGCAACTGCCATTCTAACCAAAGGACTGAATGAGATATCCCCTGAAAAACGCGTCTGTTTCGCTCCAACCAGACCAACCATAGAATACAATGAGAAGCAAGCATCCACGCCTTCCGACGTCTCCTTCCAACATGACCCCCTACCCAACTATGCAGGACTGCTTGAACCGACGCCGGCTGCACCCAAGCCAAACCAAACGTCGCAACAACTGACATCCAAAGGCGAGAAGTAACCGGACAGTGAATGAGCAAATGATCAGCTGACTCCGCAGCATCACAACACAAGCAACACCAATTAACCAATATGTGACCACGACGAATTAAATTATCCAAAGTCAAAACACGACCCAACATAGCCGTCCACACAAAGAAGGCCACCTTAGAAGGCGTACCTGGAACCCAGACACACTTCCAAGGGAAAGCAACCTCCTCCACATGAGCAAGCACACAATAATAAGAAGAAATGGAAAAAGACCCCTTAGCCCCAGGGCAGTCCCAAACCAAAGAGTCCTGTCCATCCTCTCCCACTCTCAACTCATAAAGAAAAGCCAACAACTCCACCAACTGACCTTGCTCCCAATCCTGAACAGCACGGCGCAAGCCCACATTCCAAAAAGTCGAACCCCCCTCGCTAGACCACACAGCACCCACCAAAACCTCAGCATAGTCGGCAATTCCAAAAACCAAAGGGAAACGCTCTTGTAAAGTAAGATCGCCACACCACCGATCGCGCCAAAATCGAACCCTATCCCCTACCCTAACCTTGAGCTTCACCCGCTTCCAAAACTCCGCCCACCCCAACAAAATCTCCTTCCAGAGGCCAAAACCATGAGAATGCCCCACCCGCCCTGAACACCACCCGCCAGGCCCCACACCAAACTTTGCTACCACTACCCTTCTTCAGAAACAGCCATGCTCTGCCACAAACCACCACAACCATTTCCCCAATAGGACTAAATTGAACAAAACCAACCTTCGAATCCCCAAACCCCCCCGCACCTTAGGACGACAAATCCGATCCCAGGCCACCAGGTGATAATGAGAACCCTCCCCCCCTGAACCCCACAAGAAATCCCTCTGCAACTGCTCTATCCGCTTGGCCACTGATACCGGGATCACATGGACAGACATAAAATATGTCAGGATGGAAGAGAGAACACTCTTAATCAGCGTAAGTCTCTCGCCTTTTGATAAGTACTGCCGTTTCCAACCGGCCAACCGCCGCTGCACACGGTCCACCACCCTATCCCACACCCCTTTAGCCTTAAAAGACGCCCCCAAAGGTAATCCTAAATACGTAACTGGCAAATATGCCACCTTACACCCGAGAATAGCTGCCAACACGGGAATCGAAGCCACATCCCCCACAAGAATCAGTTCTGACTTTGCTAAGTTCACCCGAAGACCTGAGACGGCCTCAAAACACAATAACACACATCTCAAATACCCAATTTGATCCACATCCGCATCGCAGAAAATAAGAGCATCATCAGCATAGAACAAATGGGAAACCGATAAATTTGCGGGAGCCTTTCCCACCGCAAAACCCTGCAGCCGCCCTCCCTGCACCGCTGCAGATAACAACCGCCCCAACGCTTCCATCACTAGAATGAATAATAAAGGAGATAAGGGATCTCCTTGCTGGAGTCCCCTATAAGTAGGAAAGAAACCCGCTGGAGACCCATTTACAAGAACTGACATCCGTACCGTGGAAATACAGAATTGGATCCAACGCCTCCACCGAGCCCCAAAACCGAACCTGTCCAACATATATAGTAAAAACTTCCAATTAACATTGTCATAAGCCTTCTCAATATCTAGTTTGCAAATAAGGCCCGCCTGCCCTTGGCGGGTTTGAGAATCCACACATTCATTTGCCACCAAGACAGCATCTAGAATTTGCTGTCCACCCACAAAAGCATTTTGAGACTCAGAAACGAACCCTTCCAACACACCTCGTAACCTATTAGCCGGCACTTTCGCCAAAAGCTTATACATACTACCCAACAGACTGATAGGACGAAAGTCCCGAATATCCTCCGCCCCACCCTTCTTTGGGATCAAAACAATAAATGTGGCATTAAGACTACGCTCAAACTCACCAGACTGATAAAACTGCTCAAACATTGCCATCACATCGGCCTTCACCACCTCCCAGCAATGCTGAAAAAATGCCAATGTAAAACCATCTGGACCTGGCGCCTTATCCCCAGGCATACTACGCAAAGCCTCCAACACCTCCTCTTCTACGAACGGGCTCTCCAACCTATAGCTAACCGTGTCTGAAATAACATCGAAAGAAACACCATCCAGGCTTGGCCTCCAAACCTCCCCCTCATCCCGAAAAAGGTGCTCATAGTAGCCCACAACACCGGCCCTAACCGCCTTTGGAGAAGACAACTCCACTCCATCTACACACAGACGACCTATCTGATTCCCCCGCCGATGGGCATTCGCCATTCGATGAAAAAACTTTGTATTACGATCCCCATCCTTTAACCACAAGCATCTAGATTTTTGCCGAAAACTGATCTCCTCCATACGGGCAATGTGGCCAAACTCTTTGCGGACATCATCATGACGACGAAGATCCGCCGCAGACAAAATCCCCTCGGACTCTATGACATCCAATTCCTGCAACACAGCAAACACCTCGGCCTTCTGAACCTCCAAGCGACCAAACACTTTCCTATTCCACCTCTTCAAATCGGACTTCAGAAGTTTCAATTTTTGTGCCAGACAACAACTAGGCAAACCTGAAAGCACATAGCTATCCCACCAGCCCTTTACCCGCTCAAGGAAACCCTCAAACGACAGCCACATGTTCTCAAATCGAAACGGCGTCGGCCCACTCCGGATACCCCCACTATCCAATAAAACTAGCCAATGGTCTGAAACTGGACGGTGCAAATGTGTCTGGGTCACATGTGAGAAATGCTCCTCCCAATCCCCTGTAACCAAAAATCTATCAAGCCGAGACATCACTCCACCTCCAGACCATGTGAATGCACCACCCTGCATCGGAAGATCCACTAACTCCACCTCATCAATGAAGGACGAGAAACTCCGCATAGAAGCCGTTACCGAGGTTGCCCCCCTCTTCTCCTCCAAACTCCGCACCACATTAAAGTCACCACCGACACACCATGGAACCCCCCACCGAAAGGCAATGTAGTGAAGCTCCTCCCAAAGACCAGTCCGGTCTCCACCATGAACCGGCCCATAAACACCCGTGAAGGCCCAGCGAAAGTCATCCTCAATACAACGAAAAAGGCAAGAAATGGAAAAAGCCCCCACCTCCTCCTCCTCCTCCTCCTTTACAATCACCCTCCTATCTTAACAAAGAAGAACTCCCCCAGCCACCCCTTGGGCAGGTAAAAACGTCCAATCCACAAATCTACCACCCCACAATTCCCAAACCATCTCTTCCCCCAAACTTTCCATCTTGGTTTCCTGTAAACAAACCATATCCGCACGCGCAGTTTTTAACAAAGAATTCACCATGACCCGTTTTCCCCTATCGTTTAAACCACGCATATTCCAAGACAACATTTTTAACCGCATTGCAACATCAATGGAGTACCACGACCCTTCCTAGCAGTTCGTCCGTTCCCAATTGCAGTCCGGTCATAATTAATAGAACACTCCAATCTTCGTAATTCCCTAACACTCTTCTCATTATGTTTCAAAGGCGTCACCACTTGGCAGTTCGGGGCACTATCCCTCCAGGAGCCCTCAATGGCAGAAAATAAAGCAAAAGCCTCATGCTCATGACCTTCAAAAGACACCCCAAAAAAATGACTAACCTCATTAATGCAAGACAAAACCCACCTCGATACCTCATCGGAGCTCGGAATGACATCCTCGTGGAAGTCCACTACCGGA